TGCTGACCACAGGAATTTCAGGGACCCACTTACTGTAGGAAGATGCCACAGCTAATCCAAAGCACGTTCCTCCATCTAATTACTGCAGGCTAAATCTTCTGCAGAGGAACTCAGTAGTAAAAGTTAGGCAGAAAGCCCTATTTTTAAAGCCAGGGAGTTTTCTGAAGCTAAATCTTACCAGCATCACGCCTATGCTACTCCTTTGTTGAGCTCATCTTCCATGGCAGCATGAGCCTTCCTCCAGTAAGGTCCTTATCTGTGCCTGGGGTCCTTGTCCAAACCTTCCCCCCGATACACACACCCAAAGGTGTTGGGAGACTGTAAACAGGGAGAACATTTATGTGAGAAAATACATTGCCTATAGGTTTGGAGAGGGGCAATGTCATGGAGAAAGCATCTCCAGCCCCAACCTGAAACTGCAGAGAACAGACATAAGGTCTTCTGCATGGCCAATAAGAGAAGGATCCGATGGTGTAGGATTAGTGATCCTTCCTCAGCCCTATGCATCAAAGAGCAGACGACGCAGCTTGGTACAGCCTTACAGTAAACGCCTTTTCTTAACTCATGCACCCTCGGACAGAATGTAGATCAGAGCTTGCAACGGGACACGTCTCCAATGAGATGGCAAATTATGTGTGTTATTGTTTCTCTAAGTGTTACGTGTTCAGACCTCCTTCTTCCTTCAGCAGACACACAAGCTTCAGCTTCGAGGGAAGAAGTGCTGGATTGCTAGACAACCCTGACTGTATTGTAACTGCTCAGTAGGTGCTGTCCTGGTGAGCGGTGTTTCACCATAAAGCATGCACACAGGGTTTTGGGGATATACGGCTATGCCAGCTTCAGCCCCAGAGCACCGTGTGCCTCGTCCTCCTTCCAGGGTGGCCGTTCTCACTCCCCCTATGGCAGCCAACCCAGCTGAGCCAAAAGGATGTGGGAATTAACCCCTGCTCAGTTCAAGGATGTAAGATGCCACGAGATGGTACAACAGCACTGACGCTGGCTGGGCCTAAAAGCTCAATGTAGCCGAGAGTGGATTCCCTGGCAGGGTTTCATTTAATATCATTTTGTGTAATGAACTATCTTTTATCTACACTACCGAAGCCGTTCTCCTTTTGAGTGCACGTAATATCCATTAGTATTAATGGGAGTTGCACACACACATATCGGGCTGGAATGGCCCCTGAAGTGTTCTAACAGTAATATTAATCTCTCCTTCTGGGTGACTTTGTCCTCATAACAATAATAAAGCCATAGTGCTTTATAAAACGCAAAAGGTCTCTTGAAGGTTGGTACAGGCTGTTATTCTAAACCATTACCTTGGTGGATTTCCATCTAAATGCTGGCACTGGTAGCTGGCACGTAGCTAAGTGTAACTGGACTAACGGTACAGGACTAGATTTTAGAAGGCAATTTCAAATACATTGTATGGGACTGTCAGGACTGCCAAAGTGGTAAAGGAGCAAAAGTTTCATGGGAAATGGATGGAATATGTGCTCCTAAATCCATTAGACGCTTAAAAAAGTCCCACCCTTCATTATTGATGCATATTGTTTTATATTTGGAGCACCCCAAAAACCATGCTGTACAAAGGGATCCTGACTGCTAAGCTAAAAAACAATTGCCACTAAAATGGAAATCAGTATTCATGAATAGACTGTAGTTCTGAGCAATCCTGCTTCCATGGGATGGGAGTGACTACAGGTGGGCAGATTAGGGCTGAATACATGGACAAGTCCATCACTGTATGAAAACCCAGGAGCTGCTAATAGATGGTGCTCTTCCTTTTGAGTCAGCCCAGAATCAGGACAGCAGCACGATGCTTGGGACATTAGGCTACTGAACCTGTTGTTTCTCAGTGACCTATAAGACAGGTCTTAATAGTTTAGGGGGCTCTCATTTTACCAAGTTGTACTTTGTAACAGTGTGGGTGTGTCTACACGTGCATTTACTCCAGCTTAAATTTACTGCGGAGTACATTACTGCGCAGTAAGCAGGACTAGGCTGGCATGTACATGTGTAGGTGTTAAAGTGCATTAACGCTATGTTAGTTGGAACTAAATTTAGTCCCAAGTCAGTCCACACACAGTGCTACTGCACAGTAAGGCATCTACACATGCATTGCTGTGCAGTAACTAATTGGGCATAAATTTAATACCTGCATGATGCAAGTATCAAATTTATGCTCAAGTTGGCATAAGTCGCTTTATTTACTTAACAGTATGGGCATGCGCATACAGACGTGCGCCTGTACTACACAGTAATTTCGGTTACTGCACAATAAATGCACACATGTAGATGCGTCCAATGTGCTGTGCCTACACACATGCTCCAGGTAGCTTCTGCGGCATAGAGTACTTCTCTCTTTCAGAGTACGTCTCATTTGTTAAGTAGTTCAAAGGCTGCATGCAGGAGTACCTGTATTTCAATAGTGAATAAAGCTTTTATGGTGGGAACCACCAAAAGTAGTCGTTACATGTAGTTTTATGAGCCCTTTTTTAGCGTGCAAGGAAAGTTAGTGATAAAACAATCCTGGAATGTATCAGGTGAGGTGTTTCCAGTAGTGACGGAAATAATACCAAGATCTAAGTGGAATACTGGTACAATCCTAGTGGCCAAGGTTTAGGAGAAGGAAACTGCACCACCCACTTCTCTTCCATGAGGAAGCAGGCTTCCAAGCCCCTAAAATTCTGGTGTTCTGGAGCCAGAAGCACTACAACAATATTAGACACGGCAGAGGTGGATACACATTACAGAATTTGTGCGAGCAATCAGGAAAAGCTGTAAATCTGTACGAGATCCTTTGAAAGGAAAACTGCTTTATTAACAGAAAACTGTGATCGTGGGTGGAGAATCTAGGAAGGTAAGTTATACACCTGGGCTGTATTTCATAATACCATTTTATGGAGCTTACACGTCCCTGCTTTTTCCCCCCTTTTTAAAGTCTTTAAAAGCAACTATTGTCTTCAGCATGGCTGTATCTAAGCTTGGACACTGCTATTGCTTTTATTTGATGGTTACTGAGCTACGTAGAAACTGGGTTAACTTCTAGACTCTCACCTGCTGTGTGATGTTTGTAGTGACTTACTGTCTTTGAGCTTCAGAGACCTTTCAAAATTGGGTATAATACTAATTCCCTTCTGCTACTCTTTGTCTTCCTTGTCCATGTAGGCTGCTTGCAGATGTTCAAAAAAAAGTTAGTCCAATCTAACTTCTCAGAGACAGCCTTTTACCACACACTTGTCTAGCACTTGATACACTAGATTAATAATGAGCAGATCTAGGGTATCAGGACAGAAATAATAACTTCTTATTATCTTTAAACAATATCACTTCAGGGATGTGCCTAAAATAGTCTAAGACCTCTTGGCAAGTTGCACTGAAAAATACATTAAGAGCATTGGGTCCATTTGAGGCAGCAGAGACTATGGGATAGAATAACTAGGCAAACTTTCAAACATGTAACAGAAAAAAAATCTCATTTACTGATTAACAATTACAATAACCACTATGAGCCCAGCTGCAACCAGGTACATCACTGAAAGTGAACTAAAAGTAAGGAACCAAAAGCAAAATATCAGGTCTGATCTTCCTGCCATGGAAGTCAAAAAAGAGTTTCACTGTTGATGCCAATGGATATAGGACTGGAGGAATATCCCCACTTGCTCCAACAGAAAGGAAACAAATGGCTGTTGTTCACATAGTTGATGATCTCTTCTCCATTAACAGGAAAGCTTGTGCACAACAAACTAAATAAGTGCAACACAGTCTCAATTTTTTTTGGCATTTCTGGAGATATAAAAAATGGTTGTATAGTATTACCGTCATATTTACATACAGAATAACAATGCATCCCATAGCTGAGTCAGCAGCAACTCCTCTGTTTGATACCTGCTTGCACCACTGCATTTAAGTCTGTTCCAAAGCATCTTCCGTCATAAAACGATGTAACTGAGAACAGACTGGCTGCAATTTCACCTCCTCCTGCACTTCTGTGTTAGGAAAAGCAACGATGAAAATGTAAAATAGGCAAACAAGAAAAAACGGTAGGAACCCCATCTATAGGAGCACGAACCAACCATGTGTCACAAAGTGTACCAGCCTGAAAATTTGGCCTGTCAAGGAACTGGACACTTAATTATTATAATCATTATAAACAAAAAGTAATTGAAAGTGAAAATCCTTTCTAATCCAGGACTTTAATTCTAAGTAAGGTTCCTATTAGAAAGCAACCAAAGCTATGAAAATCTAAACAAATCATCCTTCTTCCAGTAAGCCTTCCTTATGCAATGCTAGTTTCCTCTCTCATTTTGAAGCATCTGAGTGGACATTACTAGCTAATAGCTAAATTCTTTTCCATATCTAGACTCAAAGTATGTGTACTTTGCTATTCTCCCACAGAATGGATTTATTTAGAATAATAAAATCTATCTCTACTACAAGATTTAGTTGCTGTCCTGTGCTTCCCCATACCAGCTATGAATGTAAAAGTTAAAATATTTGAAACCATCTACAGAAATAAATATAATTGCACAAGCTGTAACAAAAGTATGGCATACACATAATGCTACTGATTCATAAGAGCCATCTTTTCACCTTCGTACAGAATCAATATTTACTAAATCACAGCTGAAAAAAAACACTGAGGCATGGTTTACTAGAGCACTAGCCCTGAGGCTTATTTGGCTATTGGATCAGCTTCACATTGGTCCACTGTGCTGTAGGTGAGATGGCAGTACCTTCAAATGAATTCATGTAGATTCTTTCATTTTCCTCCCAACGTTCTTGACGGCTCAAAAATCATCTAAATCAATTTTAGAGCTCATAGTGCTGTAAATAAAATCTTATAGCCCACGTGTGTGTGCTTCTATGAACTGCTTGCAGGTGGAGGAGAATCAAAGGTGTCTTTTAGAGAGAAGCAAAATTCCTTTTTCAAATTAAATGTGGGAAGATCCTGAATCAAGACGTGCCGCTCAGTCCAAAGGAGAAGCGCTGTCCTTCGTGCTCACCGACTGCACAAGTTCAAAGTGTGAAGTCTACAATGTCCTCTCAAAAAAGGGTCTGAGCGTAATACCCAAGCAACGCAGCTGCAAATCCCATTGTCCCAGCAATGACACAGATGTCTATTCTTCGCTACCGTGTCACCTACAAAAGGAGAGAGAGTTACGTGCTCAGAAACAAACAGGACAACAGTGATAAATCTGCTTTTGCCCTGCAAATGAATTGGATGAATGAGCATGCCACCTGATAAAATTGTACCCATTGCACATGACCTGCACATAACCAGAAGACATATGCCAGCGTCAGGCACATGCTATTCATGGTAAGGGGATTTCAGTCTCTAATTCCCATTGACTTTCCCAAGGGAATTAAGTGCCTCTTTGTCTTAAAAAAAATCTTTCTTTTCAGCATGGTCTCGTTTAATGCCTTTCTTGAAGATCATACAGAGCAGGCCACAGGCAATGGAAGCTGATTGACTTCAAAGGATGACCTGATCTGGACATACTTCTCTATATGTATAAAGAGATGGGGAACTGACTTCCACTAATGCCGGAGAGCTGAGGCTTGGGAAGGCCACAGAGAAAGGAGTCAAAATATCCTAGGAAGTGAGGGCATTGATGAGGAAATCAGAGGGAAAGGGCCTAAAGCAGCATTACCAAGGCTGGAAATAGTCCAATGTTCGTCAAAGGGAGATGGGGAAATGGCACAAAGAGTCCTGAATGGTGCAATGATTATGGTCAGTGGAGGCAAATGGGTGCTCAGGTTCAATGGCAAGATACAGAACCTGGATCCATTTGAGAACAGTCCTTCAGTTAAGACAAGTGCTTCCATATTCATGTGTAGTGTTTGCAGTTGGGCTCATGTCCATACAGGCACTTAAGGTTAAGTTCCCCAGCAATTTTTCAACCGTTAGTTGGTCAGAAACTGCATGGGCAGTTCAGCAGATCAAACTCGAGTCCTTGATCCCAGCTAAAATGCATTTAAAACATCTGGTTGATCTGGTTTTCCTTAGTGATTACAAACAAGCACAGACTCAGTGACTATAAATAAGCCCAAAATGTAGTCGATCCCTTTTTCTCTACCTTCACCAGATAATTGAATCTATGAAACCTGGACCTTTTCAGCCTCCGCAAGAGAAGGTTGAGAGGCGACCTTGTGGCTGCCAATAAGTTCATCACGGGGGGCACAGAAGGGAATTGGTGAGGTTTTATTCACCAAGGCGCCCCCGGGGGTAACGAAATAATGGCCACAAGCTAGCAGAGAGTAGATTTAGACTGGACATTAGGAAGAACTTCTTCACAGTTCGAGTGGCCAAGGTCTGGAACGGGCTCCCAAGGGAGGTGGTGCTCTCCCCTATCCTGGGGGTCTTCAAGAGGAGGTTAGATGAGTATCTAGCTGGGGTCATCTAGACCCAGCACTTTCCTGCTTATGCAGCACTCTTTCTTGCTGATGCAGGGGGTCGGACTCGATGATCTATTGAGGTCCCTTCCGACCCTAACATCTATGAATCTATGAATTACTCTGAGAAGTAACCTTTCCACTCTTGTTCACTTGTTTAGTAATAACAGGAACATTGCACATGCTCATGTTGCATTTTTACTCTTTTCATGAGCTACCATCAAATATTGGGGCTGGGGTTATAAATTGCCTTGGATTCTGAAAGAGCATCCTGTCCCCTTATCAAAAAATACATCTTTTTTTCCTCATGATAGAATCATTGTATACATTAACCTGCATTTATTTTCCAGTACAATCTTTTAATGTAGAGCAACGGTCTGTCAGTGTTTTTTTAGGAACTGCAGTACCATCCGCACACGGTAGCCAGAGGCAGTTTTACAAAAGAATTTACAATATGTGCATAAGATGTGTAAAAGACATAAAATGCTTTATACAGTTCAAGTCAGCCTTGTTTGGATTAATAAGAGAAACAAAGTTTTATGATTTCAGAATTATTCTCAGCTGGCCGAATACTAAAAGCCGGCTATAGCAGCACGATGACTTTGGGAACAGTATTCTGCAACTTTGAGTTCTTGAAGTGCCAAATGAAACGTCACTTCTGCTGGGGACGATGTTACATTTATATTCCTGCCTTACAAAGCGACTCTTGTAGGCTTACCTACTGATGGAGGAATATGGAAACACAGATGAACGACTAAACAGAGCCCAGATGGGCCAGAAAAATCATATGAATGCAGAGCATAAAAAGTGCCTTATCTGCATTGTCTACAACACAGTTCTATTGCAAAGCCAGATTAACAAGGAAGCTGCACCAGGGCAGTTTATGGTGGGACTTTCACTTCGAATAAGTCAGCTATTGGCTTGTTTCTTGAACAAAGCACCATCTTTCACTGGATCCTGGTGCCTTTCAAAGCAGCTTTTAGTCATTACCTTGTTAGCACTAAGTGGATGCATCTACAGAGCTGACTAATTAGCTCCACAGTAAAAACATCACCATCTACACGTGCGGTGATATTAGGCTGGAGTAAACTAAGTATAATACAGCCGGACACAAGAACTATCCTATGGTGGGGCTCCCTGCCAGCCAGAGGTGCTCAGTGTGCTGCGGTCCCAGGTGCATGTACAAATGCAGGGCCCAAGAGCAATGAACTCCAGTGCAAACTGTGCTGGAGTTTATTCAGCCGCATTAATTGCACATGTAGACGTGCCCGGTATTTTTATTTCTATGGTAGCAATGCCCAAGGACCCCAGGAGCTCCATTGTGCTGGGTGCTGCACATGCATACATGAAAAGACAGTCTCTGCCTTAAAGCATTTTGATTCCAAAAGAAAAAAACAGTTTCATCCCCATCAAATCTGGGTCACTGATCCTGAATTAAAGACCACTCGCACGTTCACATAACAGCTGCCTGATGTGTATGGCTTCCCCTGAATTTATGTCCTTGCTCCTGTGTGAAGCAGTCACTATCAAAGGGCACTTGGCATCAGTACATCTTTATTAATACAGACTATAATATAAAAGAACAACATCAATCCTCAGCTTGAAGAGGATGCAAAGGAGAGGATAAACATATGTCTTTGCAGGTCACTGCCTGCTGGACAGTGCCGTCCCTTTGATGCATGGAGACACCCAGGAAGTAACGATGAGTTGCTGCACCTCGCTGAACTAATTTTAGCTTGTTGAATTGGCAGCGGTCCAGAACATTTTATCTTCATCGGCCATTTGCTATGAGACTGGATCAATCAGTGAAGATCTTGGCCAATATGTTTAAAAGAATGGGTAGCTGACATTAAGCCCCTAACAAGGCCTAGGCTGATTCCCAAAGCACCTAGTCGCCCCTCCTGAGGCCAGGGTGGACTCTCAACCCCTCAGAAAGTCAGGGAGGGACTTCCTGAGGGACAAGAGAACTTTGACCGCTGCCCATTTTATAAGCTAAAATAAGGTCAATGAGGTGCATCAACTCAAACATACTTCCCGGGTGTCTCCCTACATCAAGGGGATGGCAGCTGGGTCCCTAAGCAGGGAGACAGGGCCGGGCTTGTGAAAATCTTGCCCCTGGGTTCTCATTTTGCATAATCCAAGGCCTGGTCCTTCTGAGAGCACAGTCCTTGCACTAATGGACCAGCCTCTGCGGAGTTGTTCATAGCAGAACAGGTTGTCTCCTCGTTAAAAGGTGAAAGGTTGGACCCCAAGTAAGTGTAGAAGGGGTTGATCTACTGCAGGGGGGCAACCTGTTCTGTGCGGTGTACCACAAATTAGCCCCATAACCTCCCTGAGTGCTACTCAGGTCCCCTTCTCCTGCCCTAATGGCTGCTCTGCTTTTGGCTCCCAGCCCTGTGCTCCCTGCCTGATCTGCTGCTACGTTTTCTGCTTCCACCCCATGCACCCTGCCCAAGTTGCTTCTCTGCTTTCTGCTTCCTACCCTATCTCCCTGTCCCCTCCCTGCTCTGCCACATGCCACACACAGAGGTTGGCCGCCCTTGATCTACTGGCTATTCGAGCATGATGCTAAATCTCTACACAAGCTGGCCCATGCCCAGGCTTGGCAACCGGTACTCGGGACAGGCAGAGTCGTGCTTGGACATGGAGGGCCATGACACCACCCCTCTAAGGAGGCTAGCAGGACAAGATTTTGTGAAGCAATTGCCAGCTCGATGGGGAGACTAAGGATGAGGCAGAGCTGTGTGATATGCTGTTATAAGGATCTTATGTCTTTTTCCCCCAAAGTGGGGGAGGTGCTAGGGTTATGCAGGCCCCAAATGACTCCCAGGGATCTCTGCCCCACCACCCAGCTAATTTAATTAGCCTGGGCACAGGGCAGAGCTGTATTTGCAGAGGCAGCAGTCTCTTCACTCTTGTACCTGGCACTGAAGTGGATGATAGTGATGCCAGTATTAGCAGGGCAGGTGTAATGCAATGAGTAAGTGTTGTTGCCAGGCTGTCACCTTTAAAGAGACGCTATCTCTATACTTGCCTTTGTGGTTTTGACTTTATTTCCACTGCTGCAAGACCAACCTGAATAGTCTGGCAGCACCTTACAGTCCTCTCCATCCAGACAGGGGTTCATGTGACACCACCACTTCTGCAGGACAATGGAGGCTGGAAAAAGAAACAGAGCAAAACGTTTTCTCATGCTGGCGACTGTCTCAGCAGCAGGGAAACGCTTGTCGGAAAATATGTCAGCGTTCGGTTAAAACAACATGCAAACCATTACGGGCACTGATCTTGAATATAAGCGCTGTGGTTAACTTGTCTTCCAGGATCCTAAAACTTTTACTGATATCAGTCCTCCTTATGCACACAAGGAGACCGATCCCATTGCATTTGCTGGGCTGAGTTATTTATTCAATGACTTTCAGTGTTTATGCTACCTGGATCTAATTGCTGATGAAATTCAGGACCTCCATACCCACAATTTCTACAGCAGGGTCTCACGGTGTGCAGGATATGGGTTGGAGGATGCTGATCTCTAGCAATAGGTTACCTTAGCTGGTATGAAACTAAAAGTACATGATTAAACCTCAGCTCCTATGCCCAGCTACTTGCATGATCAGGCAGGGCATGAAGTGAGACCAGCTCTTTCCTACAACTTTGGTCTTGGAAACTGCATGGGGAATGGGCGGGGGGGAGAAACAGCCTTGCCAGTAACCAGAGCTCCCCTCCCACATAGGATGTGCCGTGATTAGGAAGATCCACGGCAGTGATCACCTTATGTCCACACACTGGCCTGGTCTGTACCATTTATGAACTGGATCACCCCAGTCACAGCCGATGCTATTGGTCCCAGCTATGGGTCAATGATGCTTTCATCACCATAATACAGTTAATTAATAAGAACAGTAGCAGCTAATGAGCACATCATATAGAACTGCTCTGAAGGGCATTCCCAGGGTGCAGGGTAGCAAATGTTTAACTCGGATGTGGTCCAGTAAGTCCTTTTTGGTAAGAAAATATAATGTTTCAGAAGTGGGAACTAAGAGGATCCTATATGAGGCACATGCAGGGAGTGGGGACTCTACAGTAATAACACTGGAAGGCATATGCATATTTTACTAAGAACCTACTTCCAACTGCACTCTCAATATTACCCTATATTTGTGAAGGCTATAGCATTAAACGTGCCTGTTTATTAATATTCTGCTCTTAAGATATTTCCCCTTAATCAGACTATGCTTATAAGATTTACAGACACAGCCAGGACTAATATTAAAGATAACAGATAGATTTCCACCACAAAATATTGCGGCTATCTGCATGCCTTCTTTATTTAACATTAGCATGGTAGGTGGCAATAGGCAAATCACAGAAAATCATTATGGAAGATACGGTTTTATAATCTTACCTAGTCTAATTTGGACTTCAAATAAAATCTGGCTATACCTATTAGAGAGATACTTTGCATCATTTAACTATGTGCACAAAATACTGAATTGTGTTCTTTACTCTAATGAGATGTACAAAAATAATATGGTTTACTTCTTGTAAGGAATAAACCATTTTTCATTAATTCCAAAATGTATTTGTACTTCTGCAGTCTCCAAATTAGGTTAACTAACAGCAAGCTGACATTAGTAGATTGCTGAAATGCTGATTCAATTACTTATTTTCTACGGGGTTTTTTTTGCTTTTTTTTTTTTAATTTTACTTGGCACTTAGAGGCATCTTTGGACTGCAAAATACCTTTTTGAAGTAACAGTTTGACTTCAGACACCACTTTTGGAACGATGCATCCAACCTATCAGACTTATAAAATAAACACATGGTGTGTGCCACCAAGAATTTGCATCTACTCTAACTAATTGACTATTGACTGACTAATTTCAGTGAAACTTGATTATGCTTCATGGGACTTAAGGGATTGTTTCCACTCTGAATATATTACCATCTGAGCAGTTTGTTTGATATCTTTGCTATTTCCTAAAACTCTGACTCATTCTCTTTGCCATCGGTATTTTAAGGGCGCAATTCATGACTAACTTGCTGTACTCACAGAGAGCTACATCCACAAAGAGATTTAGGCACCCTTATGTTCCCCATTTGGCACCTAGCTGCTCTCATATATGCCCCGACAGGGTTCACAAACTGGATGTCCCTCTATCTTGTCTCATCTGCTTCATCCAGGAGGCATCCTCAGCGCCCGTCTCAAGAAATGGGCTCCGCACAAAGCACAGCCAGAGGAGAAGGTGGTGGCAGTCTCCGTTCAGCTGAGAGCTCAGGAGTTAAAGCACTTACCCAGCTTATGGGCTCAATTCAATGCTCTTAACCACCTTTTCTGACCATGTCTAAGGGATGGGAGTGGGTTGAAGGTGTCCCAACCATGTAGAATAATTAAGTATTCATTGTATCACAGAGAGATCCTGTTTCTAATAGCCTAGTGGGAGCCTATGTTGCTAATAGCCCAGTAGTTAGGCCACTCACCTGGGAGAATCAGGATGAACTCTTAGCATCATATACTGACTATCCAGTGAACTCTGAGCATCATATACTGGCATATTCAGTGGATGGTCAACTGGAATCCCAGTCTCCTAAGCACCAGGAGTTAGCCTTACTCCCTCCTACGTCCCCACGTATGTGCTGTTATTTCGTGCAGCAGGGAACAAATCCAACAGGAGGAAAAGGGAGTCCTCCCCCCACCCAAAAAGAGTCTATAGCACGGGGGTGGGTGGGTCCATTTCCTGCGAGATGGGCATAGCAGGTTCATACCTCCTCTGGCTGAGCCAAGATTTCCCCAACTTGGGCAAGTGCTCTAACCACTGAGCTAGTCCAGGTGTAGTGTGCACCTCTTCCACCTGGATTTTCATGGAAAGAGGACTGATCCCTCTTTGGGGAAGTACCAAACTCCCAGAGAGAGTCCAGGGTTGTGAACCTGCTACCCAGAGTAAATGCCTAACCCCAGAAAGGGGGAGGAAAACTCAACCCTATGTTCTCCTTAACTTTTCCTAGCTGGTTTGAACGTTTCTCTAGTCCTCACATTGGCTTTTTTGGATCCCATTCTTAGGTACCAAATTTTCTTCCTGCACTGGGTTGGGAATCTACACACTGAACTCAAATGTGATCACCAATAGGCATTAGGCACCTCATCTCTAACCACCGCGATGCCTACTTCTCCCTCTATTAACATCCCATTCACCATGTCTACACATAATTGTTTCTTTCTTTCTGTAGTGCACAGTCCTAGTTTTCTTTCTTTCTTTTTTGTACCTGTCATCAATTGGTCAAGATGAAATTTGAGACCAGCCCCCAATAGATCTCTCTGAACATGAAGCCATTTTCATCTGCCCACATCTAATCTCTACCCATTTCCAATATCTTACTGAACACCTTTCAAGGAATCATTTCAGGAATGAGGTAGCAAGATAAATGGCCAACAGTACAGCATAGGGTTGGATTCAGCACTGCACTCCTGCAGTTTTACACTGGTGTAACTCCACTGATCTGAATGGAGTTAACGCCTGTAGAAAAATAAAGCAAATGCAAAGGTGAGCCCCAAATTTCTAGAAATACCACTTGCCATAAAAAGCTGGCGCGGATGCTAATTGAAAGCACTGCAGAATAAATCAGCACTTGGAAGAGCTCTGCAAGCTCTTATATAGATTGAATATTTCAACTTTGGCCCGTCTCTACTTATGGTTCTTTTTAAATGAAACCAATTCTTTTCCTTTCATTGACTGATGTCTACTCTGTTCTGAAAACTACCCTCAGAATAACACTTTCTTGATAAATGTAATGCACCTTATTCTGGTTGCTACAGCAAACCACCTATTCTTTGCTTCAGGAAAGCACTAATTCATATGTCTAGTTATGTCAGGATTACCTTGTACCCGTAATGTCTAATATGTTTGTAGTTCTGTATTTTTCAGCCCTCTGGACACAACTGTTCATTTCACGTGTATCTCTTATCTTACAAAGGGAACAGCTCTCACCGTCAGGCCTTTAAACAGAGTAAACTTCTTCATGGCAAGACTTCCTTCACTTCTGCTCTCCCTGTAACTCTCTGACTCCTGGGTGGATTTATGTTATTCCCATCCCTTATCAGCTTGAGTGGTTCTCGGAGAGGTTTCGATAACCAATTTTTCTAAGGAATGGGATTGGGTATGTCAGCCTCACATACAACCCGCATCTTGAAGGAAGAGGATGCTGCCTTGGTCTGACATCCACCAGCTCATTTGCTGTGGGTTACCCTCCTGCAAATAAATCTTTTGCTGGCACGGTCCCCTACATAGGGTGACTCCACTGAAATTTCAGACTGATAGAGCTGAATGCCAGAAGGTACCATGAGATCGTGAAGCCTCACCTTTAATATATCACAGGCTGCTACAATTCACCCACTTATCCTCGGACTGAGCTTAATACATTTGTGTTTTGATTACAGCATGCCTTCTAGACAGGCCTCCACATTTAGATCTGAAGATGTCAAGAGATGGAAAATCCACTTCCCTCTTGGTAGTCTTCCACAATGGTCAAAATGTGCCTTATTTCCCATTTGAATTAATCTGGGTTCAGCGTCCAGCCACTGGTTCTTACGGCTCCTTTGTCTCCTAGATGAAAGGGCTCAGTATTTTCTTCCCCTCAAAGGTACTTCTCTTGTCACCTCATTGTTTGATTTTAGTTAAGCTGAGCAGACAGAGCTTGTACAATCTCTTGACATAAGGCAGAGCTGTCCAAGTGAGGGGCCAGCAGGTGTGGGACCCCCCAGCTGCACACAGCATGGGCCATACACTCCTGGACTGCACACCGAGCCATGCGAGCCAAAGGGTCCTCCCTGCAGTGCCTGGAGCTGCAGCTTAATCCTTGACGGGCTTCAAGCAACCCGCCAGCCACCAGCTAGACAGCCCTGATATAAGGTGTTTCACTGCATTTCTTTTCGAATGGGTCTGGCTTACCAAGTGATTGGTCTGGCTGCCCTGAGCTCATAATTATCTTCTCAGTCAGTCTTTCGGTCCTCTCTAAGTTTTGGCAGCAGTGATTTTATTTTTTTCTCCCAGACCCCTGAAAAAAACGTGGATTAGGATCTGGCCCAGTGCCAATCCCTGCCAAAACCTAATTGAAACATTCCCTTTAATGAGGATTCCTCGCTGATGACTGCAATTTGAGATCCA